TATTTCTCGGAGGGCCGTGGGGGGCGACATCCCACGGCACGCCGCGACAGGCCCCCCTGGCCTCACAATTTACTCGGAGGCAGCACCCGCCGCGTAGGAACCGATCGCGGCTTCGGCTGCCGAAACGTGCATAGCCTCTAGAACAGACTTGCTGGGACCCGATCTGGACGGGTGAAGGCCTCGCCTGATCCTGCTGAGGTTTTCGAGGCCTTTGCCAGTGGGTCCCAGGGCCCTGCGCTCTCCCACTTGGTGGGAGAGAGGGCAAGGAAACTGTAGGCTTTTAACCTGGTGTGTGGCCGTATGGCCGCACTTCACACAGAAGAACATTTGCCACTTGGGGATGGTGGCCAACGTGTGGGAGGGGTGTATCGCCTTGCCACTGATCACACGGGGACCCCGCGACCACAGCACCTCGCCACACGCAGCAAACTCGGGAAGGGGGCAAGGCGGTACACACTCCGTGGCGGCAGCTGGAATAACGTGGCAAGCATCGACGATGATGAGGCAGGCAGAGCATCGCCATTTATCTGCACACCGCTCGAATTTGTGCTGAGAAGCCGCGATCGCGGTCTGCAACATAGAACGAGGGGCTGCCTCCTGGGTGGGTTGCCTCTCTGGCCACAGTCCTCGAGGCTCTGAATTCTTGCCAAAGGAACGTAGGATCAGTCTTGCCCTCTGTCGGACAATGGCTGCTATAGCATCGTATTCATCGGTCCTGGGAACAGGCGGGAGGGCAAGGGTGGCCGACTTGTGGGCCGCGCTTCCCGCGAGCTCGTCGGCTTGCTGGTTGCCGAGAGCAAGAAATTTTTGGAAACCATGCAAAGTCTGGGGATCGGCATGAGATGGGGTCCAGAGCACGGTGACCGAGGAGACGCCGCCAGGTCGATCCTGCACGAGGTGCCGAATTCTCAGCCAGAGATCCCCATTCTTATTCTTACCACTAAGGCTGCCTGGCCTGAGACATCTGCCATTCTGCCAACCACGCTGCAGGGCTAGGTGATCTGTAACAAACGTGAACTCCTGCTGGCACGTCTCAAGTGCCAGGCAAAACGCATATAATTCGCCTCTTGGGACGGTCTGGCGGGGGCCTGGGAGGGGGGCGAGGAGGCCCGCGTGGAGGGTCCAGGAGGCTGAGGGAGGGTTCCAACGGAGGGCCGCGAGGCCAGAACCAACGCGACGTCGCCTGACGTCGTCGGAAAAGGCTCCGCCAGACCCGTCACCGAAAAGAAACAACTCGCCCTCAGCGTTACGAGCTCCTTCCCAAGACGGCGATCCCTCCCGCACCGCCCCAACAAACTCCCACCCGTCCCTCCCATTCAATGGCTCGAACGTGGGCGTGGTGAGAGCGACAGAGGGAATGCCACGGAGCCACAAGGCGGGGTCGGCATCGACCCCCGCCACGGCACGCGGCAGTAGCTTGTCACTGGCCTCAAACTCGGGTCCCACATTCGCCTCGCACTGCCACATTCGGTGAAACAAGGTTTCAGGAACTCCAGCGCTGCATCGGTCGCAGTTCTCGTCGATCTGGTAGCCCGCGATGTGGAGGCGGTCTCTGGTCCACTGTCCTCCGCTGATGATGGTGTTGTTGAAGGCCCAGTCGCTGAAGTCGCCGTTTGCGGGGAACCTCCATTGTTCAATGCGGATAGTGACCATGTCTGCGCCTCCAGCCAGCGTGTCTCCATGAGCATGCGTAGCGGCCTGGGTCCAGAGGAGCCTGTGTAAATCCTCGCTGAGGTCCTGCAATACTGTGTGAATGTCAGCGTCGAGGAGGCCAGGGTCATCGGCAGGGGGGAGGTTCCACTCCTCAATGTAGCCGTCCTTCGTACGCCTCCACGTGGTAGCTGAGGTCGGCTCCCAACTGGCCTCCAGCAGGGTCGCGATGGCCGCGCCTGTGGGCCCCTTGACCTTGCGCCACAACTTGGGGCCTGCGGCGAGCAAGGTGGTCTTGATCCTTGGCCAGGCTCTGGTGATCCTGGCGTGCGTGCTCGGGTGGCGTATCCAGCGCTGAAGCCAAGCCTCTATGAACTCGATCCTTAGGGAAACTCCTGGGTCCATGCCGTCGAAGGTGGCGCCGAGGAGGGAAGTGAGGCATCGGCCCGCTGCTGCGCCCGTGGCAGCAATGGCGGCCTGACGCCGCCATCGTAGTAGAGTGTGCCGAGCGAGGCCGTGAACCTGATGACCGAATACTCCTTCTGGGAGAGCGCCAGTGCGCCACAGTCCAGCTGAGATTCGGGCCTGCTGTGCTGTGCTCCGTAGTCGGTGTATCTTGCGAAACCTAGCTGTGGCTGGGCTCTGTCGCTTCCTGGCTTTGGCTTGTACACGTCGAGTAGCCGCGGCCGCGTCAACTCCAAGGTCGACGGCCGTGGCGGTCGCAGTAACTGGGATGTCGTACTGTCGCATCTTCTCGGCTAGCGAGTGGCGGACCTTGGGGGTGGAGCCGATGAGGACGGTTTTGTCTGAGATAGGCAGCTCGAACTCCTTTAAACCGTCGCAGAGCGTCTTGGCGGCACGGGGAGATGCTTCTGTAGAGCACGTAGGACTCCTTCGACTGGAAGAACAGTGTCGTCTACGAAGGTCCACATCTGGGCAAGCTCTGCCTGAGCTTGGGCTTGTCGTAGAATTGGTAGTAAAATGAGTCGTGCCAATGCGGTGCCGTGAGGGGGGCCTGCAATGATGCCTTTGGAGGCGAAGATAGGCATACTCACCCATTGTCGACTGCGCAAGAATCTGGGCGCCAGGTATAGCTGTACTTCCAGTAATAGAATGATGGGGGGAAAGCCGCAGTTGAGGCCGACCATGATGAGGTTGGCGAGCTTAATATTGTCGTAGAACTTCTGGATGTCTAATAGCAAGGTGGCCGACTGCATGCCAAGTGCTGAGGCTGTCTCGTCTAACAAGGCCCTATGTAGGGCGGCTTGGAGAGCTGAGGAGACTTTGATGGCTGTAGTCCAAAAGTCGTCCAGACCTTGCGTCCAGGCTGCCGATGCAGTCGATCTAATGCGAGACCAGAGTCTGGCCATATGAGGTAGCATGCCGAGGACCCTGTCGCCTCCAGACTTCTTGGCGGCGAGGGCTGCAATAGTACCTGCAATTTGTAGTGGCCAGATGCCTGCTTGCTCTACTGAGTTGAGGATATCTGCATAAGCTTCGACAGCTGGTTCTGGTAGACGATGGAGGTCGCGAGGTCCTAGGGCGTCAACTCCGTGTGCTTTACTGGGTGGCATGCGGCCGTGAAAGCGGTGTACGATCTCGGCTGTGATGGGCTCGAGCGGTTGATGAGCGGCTGCTGTCTTGGCCTTTGACAGGGCCTGTAGGATGTCGTCAGAGGTCTCGGTGGCTTGCCATACTTGTTGCCATTGTTGCTTCTTGTTGTCCATGGTAACGGTGGGGTCGGCGATGGTCAGGTTGGCCGTGTAGGCCTCGATGTGACGCACGGGCGCTGGCTTGACATGGGCGTGTAGTACTCCAGGGCGGTGCTTCCATTGCTGGGCGAGCCAAGCCCCGTAGGCCCTCTTGGACTTGGCGAGGGCGGCCGGGAGAGCTCTGGAGGCCCAGGTAGCGGTAATGGTGACCAAGTCGTCGGTGTCATCCTTGTCCAAGCGCGGGGCCCAGACGAGTGCAAACCAGCGGAAGATGGTGTCCTCATCCTTCTCGAACTGGAGGTCGTGCATGTGAGTGTTGAAGTGGTCCGCGCGCTGCTGGATGATGGAGGCCTGCTGCTGCATGAGCGCTGTGTG